GTTAACATTAATTAACAAAGTAAATAAAGTATATTTTATCTACGAGGGTGGTCTGAAAAGTTTCCGACCTCAACGTGAAGATAGCAGCACTTGTAAATAAAAGCTAGTGAATTTCGTTGTTCATCTGTTGACAGTTACTCACCGAAGTTTCAGCCATTTTGGACTCGCAGTTGTTATGTAACAGTCGTTTGAGTAAGTTGATGTGAGTGTTTTTGTGAAATCGTATATGGTATTTTACTTGGAGAGTGTGCGTGTGCGAATACAAATCGGCGCGGAAGACCAAGTTATTTATTCACGAATGCATTCATTTAGAACACCCAGTGCGATCAAGAACGATTCTCTCTCTCTCTCTCTTTAGTTTTAAGCTCGGTTAAGTGTTAAATATTCCGCCGCAAGTTGCCTCAATTATTGCATTAAGGCATAAGCTTAATTAAATATTCCATTGCATACAGTTAAGAGTAACAAAGGTAAACCTTTACTCGGGGACATTCTCCCCCTTTTTGTCGGCGCACTCGTGTAAGATCCAGACCGTCGAAAACTTTAAATAATTACCGGGTGGGATTATCAAGTTCGCTAGGGAAAACGCGAACTTGGAGGGTGCTGCTACTCGACTTAAATCTCGAGCGAAGAACGCGCTGGTTGCAGCGCCCGACAGTGGCGTAACTAATGTTCCTGCGGATTGAAGAAAGACAGAGATAACACAAGCGAGAAAAGAGAGAATAGGAAGAGAAAAGAAAAACACAGAAAGAACGGCGGAAAGGAAGAAGTTGACAGAGAGGGTGGCGCGGGGGAGTAAAGACAAAGACACGGAGAAGAGAAGAATAGAAGGCTAAAACTCGTCATCTGCGCGTGTCTCACGTTTCATCTTGTTGGTGGCTACATTATCGCACATTATTTAAGATAATCGCGGAGCGAATAAAAGAAACGAAGTAATCCTATAAGATGCAAGATGATGGACTCTCAAGCTCGTCCGCGACCAAGTCCTCCAAAGTAAGTTACGCCACTGGTATCGAGTTCTGCTCGAAATAAGATGCGAACGAGGAAAGAGTAAGAGAAAGGAGGAAGGGAGAGGATTGCGAGCGGGCGTAGGGGCCGAAGGATAGATTTACGAAGTCAAGATAGTTCTATAGATACGAGTTAATTATTTAATAAGCTGGAAAATTAATTCCATCGCATCTTAATTAGTTTGAGGAGGGAGGGGCGGACGCTCTCGAGGAAAGCGGAAAGACGCTCTCGGCGCGGTCGTTAAGCCAGCATTCAAACGACGCGTCTAACGCCAGTTTTACGTGGACGTGCGCGCATTGCACGTACTCATTTTGTAGGGCATTCGGTAACTTACGCTAATAAACGTCTTAATTTCCATAACTGTAAAATCCCAGGAGCGCCTCTCGTGACATGGTAGAAAATTGGATTTGAGCGTGCCCGGGAGAAAACACGTTTGAACCCACCGCGGCAAATTTGCTGATTCGCGCAATTTCGGAACGCAACGTTCAAGACAACTGCACATTGCAATTGTACAAACACGGAACATGTCGATGCTCGCGAAATAAAATCTTGATGAGAAGAACGGAAAATTCGATAGGATGAACCAAATTCGACTGCTTCCCTCTGCTGCGTTTTCTTTCGATTCCATCTCTTGCAATTAATATATTAAGTGAATCAGTAATTACTTGGATATTTTACCATAGTAATTTACGGTATAAGTATTTTACGGTGGTCACGCTCTTTTTCTGCGTGGGATAACTTCAAAGATCTCTGAAGATTACCTTTGTCTGCTTTGCAGACATTCCAGACATTAGCAATAGTTACTGACTCACTCTGTATAAAATAATACAACCGAAGCATCTCGAAATAATGGAAATTAGCAACGTGAGGGGTCTAATTACAAATCCTTATTTCAAATCATACGTTCAGTCCGGGATAACTGGATGATAACTCGTGTAATGTCTGACATCAGAGAGAAATCGCGCGAATTTATCGATGTCGTTCCTGGAGTGAGAAGCTCCTAGCTCGGACAGCCAGGTTAATTTTCAGAGCAATGTCCTTGACGACCTTTGATGATCGTTCCCATAAGTGCACCATAGCAATCCACCCTCCAAAGAAACGAGTCTTTATTAGTCCAGTGAGTCCTCGATTCACCAAGCGCAAAAAGGACCGCGGGCAACAAAGATAAGGGACAGAAAGAGAGACGGCGGTCAACATGGAGTAAGAGAAGGAAATAATCCCGTCCCTCAATTTTACGGGCCAAGTCGTCCACTCGGCCGTCCGTGAAGACGAAACCAAATTGCAGCCAATATCGGGTTTCTCTCTCTCTTTCTCTCTTTCTCTCGTCCTACTTCCTGAATATTACCGCGAAATCCTCCACGAATCACTCTTGGTCGAAAGACCGTTGCGAGAGAGAGAGAGAGAGAGAGAGAGAGAGAGAGAGAGAGAGAGAGAAAGCACGGGACAATTTCCCCGTTTCGAGCTTTCGAGCACGACCGGTCGCACGGCCGATTTTCGTCGATTCGGAGACGTCAGACGTCGACTCGGCCGAATGCGCGTATCAGCCAAATGGGACGTGCGAGCTATTGCAATTTCCGCGCGGAATTCCATACGCGACGTGGCCTCCGGCACTGGCCGCGCTTTGTCCTTAAACTCGAATGAAATATCCGTGTTTTCATGAGAACGGCTGTTCTTCCGGCAAAACTCGAGAAGCAAAATTAGAGATGTTGCGTCGTCCAACAAATTACTTCCGTTTGATATAACTGAGTAGTTTAATAACGCAAAACAATTCAAATATATACAATATAGATTCACAGAATCTCGAAATAAGAGAATTACCTTCAAATATTCCTTTTTTCTCTTTACGATCAACATAGCGATCAACATAGTTTCCTTCCGTGCATCGATAAAGAGCCAACGAGACGAAGAGAAATATATACGCGTAGAGACGCAAAATAGCCATCAAATTCAAAATGACAATTACTCACAGTAACAAAATTAGTAGTAAAATGATAATTTATTGGTAATTTTGGTAAAATCTGTTGTTTTTGATAGTTTTATGCACAAATAAGATGTATTCATGTTTGTCGCATTAATGCACAAGATAAAAGATAATATTTTCTTTACATCTTTATCAAATATACGTCTGATAATCTCTGAAATGTTTAAAATAAAAGTAGGGAAATTATTCACGATTTTTTAAAGATATATTAAAGTTTCTGTTTCTTAAAATATCACTCTAAACTATTTTTTTAATATCATTTTTCGTATAGAAAAAGTAGATTTCATTAAGTCTTATGTTCCCACAGCGCTAAAAATCGATTCGAGAAATACGTAGCAATGTAATTAATTAATTTGTCGTTTTTCCATAAAAGTCGCATAAATATAGCATAAAAATATTTTATGGAAAATATGAATTAAATAAAACGTTTCATTCATCTTAAATAAGGCTAAATGTTTCTTACGAGCTTTATATCGAAAATTTTTAATTTCTGTAATTTTTTTCTAAATTACCACTTTTAATCGTTCTCCAAAATTACTTACAAACTTATCGTAATTTACCGAGAAAATTAACTTTAGATTGGCTCATTTTCACCTGTATATACACGTCACGAATTACATTTATCATATCTTTGACAATGCAAGCTGTTTTCGTACAACAATCGGGAATCGATGTGCTAAGCTATAAAATCCGATTCGAACGCATCAACAGGAATAGAGACAAGCATATCGAGGAACAGCTGCATTCGTCGCGTAGTAGTGCATTAGTCTTGATTACATCAGAGGAAGCCGGCTCGCGGCGCGATCAGAAACGCGATCTGAAAATCGACGGAATTACCGCGCGGGGACTGCAGCGCGCCGGCGCGGCGACACAATTCTCTCGCCGCGCGCTCTCGACACTAATTAATCTAAACGATTATACCTGGCCGCATTGTTCGAGGCATCGAATTAATTGCGGGAACACGCTGAACCCTATCACGGAAACGCTCGGGAAAGTTTTGCGCGCAAGGAGCGATTACAGCAGACAGAAATCGCTTCTGTCCCTCTCGCGCGCGCTTCTCACCCCTCTGCCCCTTTAAAAAGGGGGCTGTTCGAGACAAGTAGTTTCTGGGACATGTGCAAGTTTCTCCGGCGAGAAGTCACGCCGGTTCAGCTGCTGCGGTTTAATCCGCCGGTAAATGTCGAACGGGAAATCATGTTAATGGCGTTGCACCTAGTGCGTACGCTCGTTCAATAATGTCACCTCAAACGACGATGAATAATGCATACGTGCCGATTACAGTTATACGTTTGTACGCGTTGATGCATCGACCACCTTCGAGCCGTCGTTTCTCCAGCGTCTTCGTGATCTCACGTGCGCTTAGTCGTTCTAATCGTCACAAAAGCGGCCCGAGGCGGCTTTAACTCTCCGCGAACCATGTGTGGTTAAGCTAACCCCAACAATTTTAAAACTGCTGTATTTTTACACAAAATATGAATAGATTAAACACCATTTCAAATATTTTTTTATTCAAATGATAATTTTATTCGAATGATGTATTTTTATTCAAATGATATATGTTGATGGATAATGTTCAGAGTAAAAAACCCCATATGATTCAAGACATGACTTTTATTCACCTGATTCGCGGAGAGTTAAAAAAGGTTAACGTTGATTGCCACGCGATCTAGATAAGATTACTTTTTATACGTAGACCAATCTCACACCATGGTAATCACATTATCCAAATTGAATTGTGACAATCGTTAGTTGATTCGTTGATTGTCGGACAATCTCGTCGTTGCGATGGCAATTTCCACGTTCTCGAAATAACGAAGAGACCAAGAGAGAGTGTATGTGTGTATGTATTTTTGTAATCTACTCACGACAGACGTATCCACGCCGTTTGCAGCGAATTGGCGCTAAGTGGATAACGTTAATTGGTCGCGCAGGAGCGGAGGAACGTCGCGAGCAAAAAAAGCCCGGACTCTCTCGGACGAGGATACTTCTCTCGACTAATTGGAAGATTACTTACCGTTCGCGTGCGCCGCAAGCAGGTCCCTCAGTTGTTGCTGGCCGGTGGTCAATTCCACGCAGCTGACCCTAACGCTGAACCTGGCGCCGGTTCTCTGCCGTTGCTCGGAAATGCCGCGGAAAAGCCATGCTATTGCGCAAGGAATCGCGCCCAGTGTGTGACCGGCTTCCGGAGTCCCCAGCATGGTGTGAGACTTGCCTGAAATGCAGCGACGAGAAAATAGTTAAACGTTGCATCTGCTCGCGCTGATTACGGCCGATATAAACGAGGTATGATGTTGAAAGAATCAGAGATAATGCCACGGCGTTTATAAACGTACTACACGAAAGCGCGCAACCGGCATATAAATGCAGATCGCAATTTGAATTAATTCTCCAACTACTTGGCCGTTCGCGCATAATATTTCGTCTCATGAAATTCACTCGATTTGAATATAGAGAAGATACCGACTCTAGGTCTAGGAAGTGCATCGGCTATGCGCTTTGTTTGCGTATCTATCGTAAGAGGAACAGTGGAAATGAAAACGTAAAATGTTTTCATTAGAACATAGAATCCTTCCCCATCGAGTTTTTTATTAAACTTGGAATAATATCACAGTTAAAAATAGGAAAATTTATTTAGGAGCAATCAAATAGGGGAAACTGGAGCTGGATGCTCTATATTTTACAATTTCGAAGTTACATCTTCTCAGGCATAATTACTGTGACTGTATAAATATGATAGAGGTAACCATCTTCTAAATATTAATGCCCGCCAGGATCCTGTTAACGATATATTTTGTTTCATAATATCCAAAATACAAAGATGCAGCAACAGAGCCATTTTGCCCTGATGCTGGGTTCAGTTGCCTGCAGGATAAGAAGGTTATGTAAATGTATCCTGATTAGTAGTTCTAGAATCTTCGCAAGAGGTCTCCAGCGAATGATTCTTAATTAGAACAAAGTTTTTTGCAAATAAATGATACACTGTTTTGAGTAATAAAAGCAATCTCCAGTCATAAAGTGATTGAAATCGAGCTTATAGACAGACAAGATAAAGTTGATTCCCATATAAGCGCCTGTAAGATTATGGATATCCTGAAAAACTACTAATCAGGATACATATTTTGTATATGGCTTTCTTCATATGTTCCGAGTTACTAGCCAACTTGACTCAGTACGGGGGCAAGATGGCCACATTGCAGAATGTTCGTATTTCGGTTATTAACAAAAAAAAATATATGATTTATAGGTAATTGCATAAAAGCATAGGAGAAGGTTGTCTCCATCATATTCCCAAACAACAACACATTATATCATCTTCAGAATAATCTGGAATATGTCCTAAATATTCTCGGACATATGTAGGATATATTGAGGATATGATATAAAAATATTTCTTTACGTCTAAGTGTTAAGGATGTTCATACATTATTTCAGACAAGATGACTTAAGACCATCCTGAATATGCGTTCTAAGATACTTTCTGAAACATTCTGAATACGTTCCGCATGATTCTGTGTTATCTAAATATAATGTCTGCTTTTGAATTACGCAAGATATATTGAGATAGACATTAGATATTCTTAGGAATTTAAAATAGAATATCCTGGAAATATCTTTACTTGTAGTCCAAAGTGCTCATTTGTGTTGGAATAAGAAGTTAGAAGAAATACAGGATGTCCTCAGCAATATCTTGTATTTTAAGTGTCCTGTATGAGCAGGACACTCAGAAAACTCCGAGTATTTTCAATATTTTGGAAATTTCCCCTTTGTTATTTGTACTTTCGTGTGTATGTACAGTTAGTCTAGCGAATAATTGATAGATATTCGGGAGTGAAAGGAAATACTTTGGAGATAACGTAATAGGAAATTCGATGTCAGTTCTCTCTTGTTGACGGGAACGATGACGTGTGAAAGCTAATATTTCGAGTGATCCTTGCCGGACTGACGGATTTATTGACGCAAGGATCGAATTAACGCCCGTAACCGGTGCGACCGGTATGTGGACAAGCTTCATTGTTGATTGGCATAATCGCGATTTTCCCCTCCGCGTGTCGCGACGAATCAATTCACATGGACGAGTTCGAAAATCCCGTTTATGTACACGGCCGGCATGCGAGAGCCAGTTGGGTGCAATAATTGCGATGCCAGATTTGCGGTCGGGCCCGAGCGGTCCGCTTAATTTGTTTACTATTTAGTGGACGACAACGTAACGGCTGGAATGACAAGCAGCGATTACGTCGACAGCGCGAAGTATACGATGAACGGCGAAACGACCGATCGTTACTCCGTTCCTCGCACAAACGCGTGATAAATTCAAATTAATACTTCATTAGCGACGACAGCGCGCGGGATTGAATAGACGGCTCGCACAAAAATTCCGCGAATTTAACGGCGACTTCAGTTACGGCTCTGCGATAACGCGCTCTCTCGTAGCCGCGCGGGTGCGAAAGTTTAGCACGTAAGTTACGGCGAAACGGAAAGCGAACGCTCCGCTATTGACATAGAAATAAAAGAGCTTTTATTAAAATCATAAAGCAAACCGACGAGAACGGGGACGACTTATGGCCTAGGAGGGTTACTCCGCGGAGGACGGGATACTGAAACGAAAGGCGTAAGAAACCCGACGGAGGGAAAGACCGTCGGCAACGATGAAATAATGGAAAAGCAGCAGCCGCCGTTGAATCTTAAATGTTATTTAATTGTCTTAATGTAAGACGGTGAATTATGTTGTTATTTAATTAGAAACGCCGCGAAAGAGAGGGTCGGCCCATCTCTCGCCGGTAACGGACCGCTTTTACGTCTCCGGAAACTTCTCCGTAGGTTCGAGCATAGAATTCGCGGCAGCCGCCCAGTAAGATTCGAGCGGGCAAACCGCAAAAATCCCGCAAGAATTCGCGCTATGTTACCGCGAGATTCGCGAAGCCGCTGCCGCCGCCGTCAACGACGACGACGACAAAGCAGAAAAACCGGGCAGTGGCCGCTGCATTCTCAGACGACGACGCGACACTCACACGCATAGGGATACTTTGAGACGAATGCGAGTAATAATTAAAATTCCGCTCGAATGCCTCGTGAGAAACACGTCAATACCAAGACCGTTGGTCGCGTGATAGAAATTATGTGTTTATTATTCCTTCCGTGCCGCTTCTTATTGCTTTGTTCCGAAAACAGAAATTGCAACTTATCATCTATGATATTTCCAAGAACGTATAATTAGATATACAAGGTGGAGTAATAATTCTATTTACTTCTCAATTCTCCGCTATATTAAATAATATAAAAGAATAGTGCTTACAAAAGTTTTATGGTTTCAAAGGAGACGTAACATAGTGACAATTATTTTTTTTTGTGAGTGGAAGTATGTAGAAGATTTCAAGATCATGTTATTTTTTTTAAATGGAATCATCTAGTGTTTAGCTATAGATAGAAATGGAATTTAGTTATAGATAAAAATGGAATCATATAATTTTAGTATTTAGTTTTTCTAACGCAAGTATCAATTAATCTCATCTTAATATTTTTGCACACAGAATGGGTGAAATCGGTTGTATAAGAAAAATATGTAAAAATCTCTTGAACAAAACTCCGTTAAAATTTTGTAGATTCATTGATGCACCAGTGTGCAAAGATGTATCACCGATACATAATATATAACATTGATAATATTATATATATATATATATATATATATATATATATATATATATATATTTCCTATTACGTTATCTCCAAAGTATTTCCTTTCACTCCCGAATATCTACCAATTATTCGCTAGACTAACTGTACATACACACGAAAGTACAAATAACAAAGGGGAAATTTCCAAAATATTGAAAATACTCGGAGTTTTCTGAGTGTCCTGCTCATACAGGACACTTAAAATACAAGATATTGCTGAGGACATCCTGTATTTCTTCTAACTTCTTATTCCAACACAAAT